CCCGTGATGTTCCATTGGAACGTCGCCACTCTTCCCGGAGTCATGGGTGGTGTCACCTGAAGTGTAGTGGATAAAATGTTCATTTTAGCCCGCGAGCAAGCTCTCCTGCCTTTCCGATCCTCTGCCCCTCGCGGCTTCGCCGCTCGCTCGCACGTTCTCGCGAAAATCGCTTCGCTTGTCCAAATAGGAGAGCTTGCTCGCAGGCTATGTTCATTTACACCCTCAGTTGTAAACACTATGTGTGAAACTATTGCGGTTAAATAATTTGTGGCAATCAAATATTTCTTTTGCTATTACTTACTTCGTTTAACTGGTTCGCCCTCCTTTCTGCGAGCAGCAGCTGCAAGTGGCTCGGCGCGTTATCTGCCTCATGTCTCGCTTGATCCTCTCTTCGCAAGACATCGTTGCACACCGGGAATGGACAGGTAACGAATGCGCGGGTACATGCGGAGGCAATGTGCCTGTTTAATTGGTCCCTGGAAGAGAGAATTTCCTTTTCTTTACGCCTTTTGTCTTCGTGTTGTTGTTTCAGGTTAGAGATATAAAGTTTTAAGTAAATTAATTAATATTAACAATATTTGACAGGGCTTTTTGCGCCTAATAGTAGGAGAGATTGCATGAGACTAGTACTTACCGGGGTATGGAAACCAGATTGCAATTGAACGGGCACATTACAGGGGCCTTCCGACATGCCAGCTCCTGGTGGTCGTGGTACTGCCGGAAGGGCAGCGTAACTCCGCAGTACCCGCAAACTTGGGGACGCATTTCGCATTCGCCGGCGTGCCTTTGCATCTCACAGCGAGGGAACGTCTGTGAACAGCCACGGTGGGTGCATTGGACGGGCTCGTGGAGGCATTGCTGCTGATGACCGGAGATCTTCTCTAGTGCGCCCGTCCAATTACACCCGTCCATTCTTCTTGAACAGTAAACTTCAAGGGAATCGACTACCCTGTCGAAAGTAATTATGCCTCTGACGTCAGAGGCTTGGAGGGGCTGCCTTCCGACAGGGCAGTTTGGGTGTCCATGCGCATTTATCCAATGTCGCAGGAAGGTACGGCAGAAGAGGTGGCCCTCGTTGCATGCCACAGCTTGACGTATAACGTATTGACTGTAAGGGAAAGAGAAGGACATAATTTGTACAGTACTCCGGATGTCAAGTGATAGGGAAGATGAAGGCTTTCTTTGAGTTTGAAATTTTCGAATCCAGGATTTTTTTTGGGGGGGGGGGGGGG